GGCCCCTCCGCGGCGCGCTTCTCGTTCTCGTTGCCGAGGCGAAAGTCGGGCTCCAACTTCATCGGCTGTCGCATGGGAATAGTCCGCTTACGCATACGCATACCCATCGCAATCACTATCGCAGGCCAAAACGAAAGGGCACCGAGGGAGCGGGGTGGGATTTTCGATAAGCGGCGAGACGGAGTTGCGGATGGCGCTGGCGGCTGGGGCTGCTTCGGCTGGGATCGTAGAGTCTGGGTTCAGGTTCCAAGAGACGGCAGTGACTTCCACGACCCACAACAACGGCCTCAGCGACAACGTTGGCGACGTTGACGCGAGGAGCGGAAAGGGTGCAATGGATACGGCTTCGCAGGGCAATTTCATGGCGAGGGTGAGGAAACTGAGGAAGGGCTTGAAGGAGATGCTTCTCATGACTTCGACGACTACAGCTTGAATCCAGCTGGATTTTTCTTTTTGACACGACCCTCTCACGATACCCTTTGTACAGTATATTTTTGGAGTGCTCATTTACTATCCCACTCCCACACATTTCGAGCTATTCTTTTTCGCTTCCATCGTTTTGTTTTCGTGCTTTGTGTTTTCTGCGTTGTGTAACACGCTGTTTTTTGATTGAATTCGGATAAACTATAATAGGCTGATTTTGAAGAAAATAGACTAGCCATTTGTCATGTTGTATTTGTATCTTCTACTATACTTACCTCGCATCGTCACCAATCAATCTTGGGATGCAGCTGGTCTGCATTTCATTTGCAGCTCGAACAGCGGGTATTGTGTTTGGATGGGGGCATTAAATATTGAGTTCTTTAATACAACTAATAATACAGAAATCGAAGCAATAAGGTGTAGCAAGTGGTAAGGTACAGTAACTATGACAATTGGTATAGGTAAGAGTGCATGTCCGAAATCCAAGAAAGACCACCGCGAGCTCTCAAAAGTTCGTCAGGATCACCAAAATCGTTTGCGTCGGTGAATATGAAACCTCTTGCTCTCCTTGCTCATCTGCATAGCTATGAACTTCCTTCTCTCTTGGTGGTACACATCGCTCATGTCCCGTTTCCCGACATAGTAACCACCGTCAGAGGCCGACGCCGCGGAAGGCGCAGCAGAGGCAGACGAAGGCTGAGTGGAGTTGGTGGTGGTGCTACTGGTCGCGTTGCCAGTCGGAAATGGAACACTTGGGATAGGGAGGATGGGAGATTTGGCTGAAACGTCAGCGAGGATGGGCATGGGGGCGTTCGGCGCCGGGCTGGGAATAGACAGGTAGGAGTCGATGAAGATATCGTTCTGCGCTCCGTCGATGAAGTTGTAGAGGTCATTGTAGACTGGGGGAGAGTATGTGCCTTCGAACATCTACACGTTGATTGGTCAGTACTTCTGCACGCAACAAAGTTTATGAGAAAGTAAGAGCAACTTACGTTGTTGCGCTCGTTATTGAACCAATAGAAGGGCGTCTTGGCGCCGTAGGTGCAGTTACCGGGGACGGCCTGCATTTTCTGGTTGTCCGGGTCTGCACCACAGCGGCGGGCAACTTTGGATGGGGCAACAGCAAAGTTGGAAGTCGAGCCTGTGACGTTGCACTTGAAGCCGTTCATGTAATCTGAAAAATAAATAAAATGAGTTCACTAGTGCAGTAAACACGAGTCGAGGAGTACGTACTCTCTTCACCGCCACTCTTGGGCTATAAAAAAATAAGCATGAGAAACGGTTCGTGACAATAGAGTATTTAAAAAAAGCTCACCGAGTGAATCCAGAAGAAAGCACAGATACATCCACCGTCAGGACAAGGAGGCATACGCGCAGGTACCTGGAAGTCCGTGAACCTCGTCCATACGCAAGTCTGATTCACGCTGAACACGGTGAAATCCTCCGGCTGAACCGCCTGCACATCATTCTTGTACGCAATGGCCAACGAGCACCCCTCGAGATCGTTAATACCACTGGTATGATATGCCTCGCTAGTAGATCCAGGGCAGACGTCATTGGGGTTGTTGGCTTCACGAATGTCACCTCCTTCCGAGGAGGCAAAGTACGAAGTTGCGCCTTTGTTGCAGGCGATCTCGGCCGTGGCAGGCTTGCCAGCAGGAAGCTCGAAAATGTCTCCGGCATTGGGTGGGTAGTCGAGATGGTTGTGGAACCACCACTCTGTAAAGTTCATGTTTTTTATTGGCACGACCGGTCGGTTATCATAAGGGAAAGTCTGGGTGGTAACGTTGAATCCGAAAATGGCTGGATGCCAGAGGCTTTAAAGGTCCGAAAAATGTCAGTTTTCTGGAGCCAAAGTATAAGAGCAAGCAGACGCACCAGAGTGTCCAGACACTCGCGGCAAAATCGCAAAGACGGCGAAAGATATAACAGCCAACATATTAGAAAGTGATGGTCGTGAAATTTACGTCTAGTCGTTAAATGGAACCCCAGGACCCAAAGGAAAGTTGAAAAAGAAAACAATCTAGTCCACCAGTGGAAGCGCGTGTAGGGGGAAACATGTTAGTCGCGCTAGATCTTATACGGAGGGAGCACAATAGTGTTGAAGAACAAATGGGTTGCATTCTCATTGTATTATGTAATCTAAACTTTGGAACACAAAGTTCGACAAACTCAGGGTCAGGCCAAATTTGGCCATATTCATCTTTCGTCGCAGCACATCCCTTCAACCAACATCGCTACTTTTACTAGAATAATGGTCTATCATGGTCGAGTTGTTCCAATTAGCCTCAGTCTCCTGTAGACGTAGATATATGCACATTATATTGTCCCAGTTCTGATTTTTCAAGAAAAGTCAAGATTTATAGCTGCTTCAAGTTCAGCCTCACGACATCCATGTCCAGGGAAACAGCAGACCCCATCCTACTCTGCGCTTTCTGCGTCTCCGCCATCAAAGGTTTTTCCATTTTCATCTGACGCCATGTCCTGATACTTTCGCTTGCATCCACATTTTTGGCCATTGTTTCGGTTCTGACTGTTGCCCTGCTCGCGTGAAGTTGCCTCGATATTTTTAATCGCAGTGTCGCTAGTATCTCTGATGTGCCTTCTCTCTTGCTTGACTCTGAGTCCTCGGGTCTTGCCATTGGAGGTTACTGATGCTTCGCGCTATCGTGTAATATTTAGCTGTATGCCCCAAAAACCCATGAATATTAGTACCCACCGTCTCTGAGTCTGGCGGCTTGCGAGGGCGTTCTGGGGTTAAAGACCTAGAAGAGGAAGAGTCCTGACTTGCAGCATCAGCCGAGTCACTATAACTTGAATCTTCTTCATCAGTGTCCTCCTCCGGTTTGTAGTCCTTGTCGGACTCGCTATTGTCTTCGCCTTCTACGGATGTATATCGTGAGATTTTTTTCGTTTCACATGAATCGCCTCCGATTTTCGCCTGTCTATCATTGATCCATGCTATCTCTTCCAGAGTCAAGCCTTCGCGATTGGCTGGGAAAAGGAGCCGAGGACTGAATAATCTCCGGCCTTGAAGCTTGGCCCATTTTCTTCGCAGACCGAGCGCCAATATAGGTGATGGCATACTTTTGGCTAGAAGTTCCGAGTCGTTTCGAGAAAAATACACGGTTTCTAAAAAATGGATGGGGGAGTTCTCGAAAGCGATTTGCCTTGTCCATTTGCCATGCACCGTATGCCCAGCAGGATCTCCATTCGCCATTGCGAAGCCTTTGATATATGTTGGCGATCCTGGGGGGCTTCATGTCGATGTAGATATCTCCTGGCTCCACATACTGGAGGTCTGTTGGAGGCGGCCCCATACCACGTATCTCCCAGTAATAAACTGTTGAGGGCTTTTCAGGGTCGGCGGCATACATGTATTTACCGCGTGCAATAAGACGCTGGAGGTCGGGAACGTTTATTGAACGCTTCTCAATAATAAAATCTGGGTTTCGACGAGAGATTGGTCTCTGGTTCAATACCCAAGGATTTGGGAGGACGTGGTGAGCCATCGGACGTGACAAACCCAGATATCGAATCAGACCACGGTGGGCACAATAGAGAGGGAAGCGTGAAAGGGAATAGGGTTTTATTGAAGGCCTTAAATACCCAACATCATAAACGATGTACACGTACATACTCGGGAATGGAATACCGTACTTTACTTAGAAAAGGAAACACTGTAAGACGCTTCCAAAAATAGCACTGCGTGTCTTTTTAGATGTACTAGGACTCGTTACATAAATCTGGATTGGATAAAATTGTGTCGTAACTGCAATCTTGTACCCAAGGACCGCCCTTTTCGTCAGTCATTATGCCACCTTTTTTCAGTTGGATCTTTTGTTAGTTAAACAACTGCCCGTGAGGTATTATTAGTATCATTGTTGTAATGCAGACTCCGATGAATTCAACGTTAAACAACATGGGGCCCTTACTGCGGTATTGAAATGGAAAGGCTCTTCAGACGTCGAGACCACAAAAAGCTGTTGTAGTTACAGTACTTCGATAATTTTGAGTGGCCACCGATAATTTGAGGATAACCCGCCGTGCGGCGTTAACGGGCGCTAAACACACGCTTCACGCTTGAATTGTCGAGCACATGTTATTCGCAACTGACTCAGGCACGAATGTTAATGAACAGACACTGGCACCCGTATATGCACTCATTGAATGCAACCTATCTTCCTTGCTTTAAATTCGCACCTCCGTTAAGAATGTTCCCCTCATGCGATACGGGTCAACTACTGTAGTTCTACTATTTTACAAAAGGTCTCACCATACAGCGGAATTTCATTCTCTTGCTATAGCAACGAAGCAGCCTCTGCCCAGCCTAAACCAAACAGATTCCTCGCAAAGCAGCCTTAATGTCACGTCTTCTACACTGCCTCGGATTACTCAATAAGACAGAATCTGGCTATGGTATTACTACGTGAAAACTTCCCCGGTGACAACCGCCTTCATTGAAGTCATACAGTTTGAACATTGATTAATCTTATTGTACGCCGAACAACCTGGAAACAGCTCCGAGTCATTTCTAGAGTGGTGGAAAACGAGGTCGAGGGGGAAAAATTACAAGTAGCCCACCGCGAGGGTCGAACTCGCAGCCTTCAGATTCCAATGGAACGAATGGAACACCGCCTAAGAGTCTGACGCTCTATCCGATTGAGCTAGGCGGGCCATGATTGCTAAGCATTAGCATCTATATGATCGGATATTTGCATCCGAGATTTTGTCCGATTATCGTGTACGCGCTATACAGTACGCGCATTCTTTCTTTTTCTTCCTTCCCTACCTCCACTACATCTCACAAAAATACACTCCTTCAAACTCGAAAACCCCGACCTCCAGGCCAAGATGATCCAAACCATAAGCGAAATCGAGGTGCGGTTTGTCTTTATTTGCTACCACTACTGACTGATCGAATAAAGATTGCTTTCCAGAGAGCCTCAGCTCGTCAAAACTTGTCCAGCTGACGCCGTTCCTGCTTCTAGTGTGTGTGCCAAGGTGATGCACATTGCCCATTACTTATCCGACGACCTTGGCTTTATGCTCGGGATTGTTAAACCTTGCAAGAATCTTGCACTGATGCCACCGGTGTAATGCACAAGTTCGCACAACTCTAGTTGAGCCTAATTGACATCTTCAATGCGACGTTGCCCATTATCCTACCGACCTTGGCTTTATGCTCAGGACTATTCAACCTCGGAAGAATCTTGCACCGATGATCGCAACTGCCCTGGTATAAGTTGGACGGCGCACTTCAGCATTAAAAGCGCAATTGCGATTGATTGATTGCCCACTAGCAATGCTTCATCCCGCCGAGGTCAGATTTCTGTATCTCGATGTTTCTTCCTTGCTTAAGTCAGTTACAAGGTCGAGACCCTCCCCACCAGCGAAATTCTCAACCTAGACGAGGTCACGCCATTCAGCGAGACAGTTGCGAGGTATAGCTCTTATAGCGAAGCGTCAGTAGCTGCTTGTACATGGGTCGACAATGGCAAGGTCACTGGAAGACCCCAGGTGGACCCTAAGGATCTTGTCTTGTTACGAGGTACATGCATCGTAACATATTCATGCACATTCTCTTACATTTCATGTCTAGCAAAGTAGGGCCTCACGAGGGCCCATTGTTGGTAAAATTTCCAGGGTCTGCCAACAATGGTGCTACCGTCATCTTCATCTTTAGGCCTGGGTATTAAAAAGGCAGCGGTATAGTTGAGGACTTGATACGCATCGACAACGACAATAAAGGAAAGGGCATCCACTTCAAGCCAAGTTCAGGAAGAATACCTCCGACAAACTTGCAGCTGTCATTTTACCCACCGTTAACCTGAACCCAAACAGCGCGACTTGCTTTACTCTGATTATCTCAAGGCGTTGGCGAATAGGTCCCCATCGTTCATTTGGGGATAAGTCGGGTGGAGGGGAGTCCGGGTGTATGTTTGGGATGTAGGGACGTTGACGGACATCCCGTGTTGTCTTTGAGAGATCTTGGAAGGATGATATACGGTATTGGTTGGGCAAATGAGGAGCCCCTCCGAGTCCTGAGCTGGTGTTGACGAAAATTTGCAGTCACATAGCCCGTTGATGGCAGCAGAATTGAGCGTCTAGTTTCGACGACGAAGTGTATCATTAAAAATGTATTAGTCCAATGTAACTGGTCGACCGAAGCAGCATACACGAAGGTATGTCATGAAGCACCCGAGGCGAGGTGCACGGGGCGGTCGTCCGGGCTGGGCTTGCAATTTGTCAGGGACAGGTCCGACGCTGAGCGGAGAGACAAGGTGGAGAGGAGGGCGGAATCGGAATCTGATAGTGGTTGTTTCGGCTTTCGACTTCCTCCAAAAACGATTTTCGAGGAAGGGTTGAACGTGTTTGAAGTCAGTTCTTCAGACGAAGGTCCACGAGGCTTGCAGCAGATGTTGAATGTTGACCCGGACGGATCGGAAACATCGATGGTGACGACCGCTGGACTTTTGCCTCTCAACTTCAATCAAGCTTCGAGCTAGACGAACGTGGTGGAATTCGGCGTCGTTGGAGCTCTAGTTGAGGGTTCTGTTGATGAGCCAAATGTCATTCCGTGCAATGGCTGATGTTAACGACGACGACGCCTCGTAGTCTCGTAGAAGTAGAAAAATGCACCTCAGCATATTTCACGACTCCAATGCTCACAGACTTAGCCACTGGAGACTCCCAGATGACGGTAACGTAGAGGCCGCCAACGTCCGACAACCTAAACGTTGATGGGTTGTTGATGGTCTCTTGACTTCCGACTTCCATTCGTCGAGCCCATGGCCGAATCCGGGGATAATCGGCCTAAGCGTCTGACATTCACGATTGAGCTGGTAACCGATTAGGCGCCCAAGCTGTCCGGCGCGACCGCCCTGCCCATTGCTAGCTTCGAGGTCGCTCAGAATTTTCTAAGAGATAAATATGTGCCGACAACCAACGTTTGCAATCACCTGGTGGATGTCATACTCTTTAGCAGATCGCTAGTGTGCTCCATCGGAACAGCTTGAATCGAATTATTGAATGCAGCGCGCTAGTGAGCGAACCTAGGGAGGAACCCCATGCAAACGCGTACTAGTACTTGCTTGGACTATTAGACGGCGAAGTTGTCTTTGTCGAGGTTAATGAACGTTCCTCGTGGAAATTTGCGGTAGGAAGCTCCGACTTGGAATGATATTGGGTTCGTTCGTCAGTCAAATTCTCACTGTATTTAACTAACCAAAGATCTCACCTTGTTCTATCTTCTTCTCGAGCGTAGAGACCCTGTCGCGGTAGATTTTTAACTCTTCTTTTGCCTCCCTAAGCTCCTTGTCCTTCGCAGCGAGTCCCTTGCTTTTCGCCTCAAGCTTCGACCGTAAACTTCTCATCTGCGCGTCGAGCTGATCACCTTAAAGGAAGGAAATATTTAGCGATTCCTCCCAGGTATACATGGAAACTGCCACGACTTACAATCAGCTTCTAGGTCATCGACGTCTCCTTGCAGCCTTCATTTTCGTCCTCGAGGAATCGACATTGTCCTTTCCACTCGTTTACTTGCATGTGACAACGAGGATCAGTTAAGTGTCTCCTATAATAAGAAATGAGGAGAAAAACTACTTACACACTATTTGAGATGTAATCCAATCTTCTTTTCGTTGTATTTTTTCATTCCTTACTGTAGGCCAATGCGATTAGCGAACGCGCAGACGAGTTATTTAAATTGACCTGAAGAAATTTAATTGACCAGCAAGACGACTCACATTGAATCTTCAAAAAGTATACTTCCAAGTTTCCGACGTTGCCATGAATGAAAAATTAGTGTAGTCCACAGGAAGGTGAAAAGAAAAGAGCATACGACTTAGCTTCTGCCTCGAATATGAAGTGTACACAGGGTCAGGGTCGAACCCGTAAAAACCGCACCGTCAGATTGACTGACGCTCTTCATGTACATCGCGTCCGAGTACACTTGAATATGTCCCACACGCTTCCAACAAGGTTAGATATGACCTCGCTTACCTTATTATCTCCCTTTCATGAACGCGACTTCAATCCCCTTTGCCTTACGCACCGCGCTCTCCGTCTGCTAACTCCTCCAATGTTGAAAGCGCTGCCCGTTTTCCCAACACTGGCCTACGATCTTCCATTGCCGCTCTCCCCGAATCGAAACTTTGCTCGATCGTGGTTAAGTTGGCTGATAGTAAACCCCGCTTTCAACACGCCATCATGAAAGAATTGGCCTACACACGTTGCGAGAAAAAAGCTTGCATAGCCACTGACCAACATTTTGGTGAGATCATCTGCACAACAGATTCACAATGTGAATCTTTGCCGAAAAAAAAGGTAAAGAGTGGCGAGACACATGCAACATGTCTGAACAATAATGCTCCGTGAAACTTTACGTACGTTACTCTAGTGTACACTGAAATCCTGGGAACTAGTAAATAGGATTGTAAAGATAGAATGGAGCAATGGAAATTGAAATGCAAACAAGAAAACCAAAGTCCGAGTCCATCAAGAAAGCAAAAAACAAGTGAGTACGACGAACCATGATAAGAAATGGAAAGAAGAGAAAAAATACAAGCAGCTGCATTGTAGCTCTAAAGCTTACTTCGATGATGATTACACGTATGAGTGTCTTGCATAATTGCCTTTGTCAGGCGCGAGTGCTCCAACAATACACCATGCATTGAAGAGCATCGAACCCTTGAAACAAATTCAAAGTTCAATCCGCCGAAGAGCGGACATACGGCGTCTAAGACGCGACATCACCTTAACCATCACCACACGAGGAGAGCCTCACTCGTTGTTGTGGAGTGGGAGCGACCATCGGTAGCCTGAGATCCCAACCGCGAGGTGAATGCCTCAGGAAGGGAAAGGAGGTGGCTTAACCTCCTTCGAGAGGGAGATTTGTGCAGTGTCTGAGGTATCGCCGACGTCCGTTGCGATTGGGGGGTATCTGGGGCGAACGCTATGCCTGGAGAAGAAGATTCCGGGCTGGGGGACTCACGGGTGCGTATAGCGAGAGAGGTCGACGGGGCAGTCGTATTCGAGTCAAATCCTGCGAGGAGGTCGCCGACGTAGTCGGGCATGGCTATGACGAGATCGGAGAGGATTTCCTCCGTCGAGCGCAGTGAAGAATGCCATATCGTCGCTGTACCATTAACGTCAGTAGGAGTTGGAGGCTGAGAAGGGATCGTGATTTCAGGAGCTTCTGAGATGGGTTCAAGCTGGAAGAGGGGTTCTGCCAGAGTAACAGACGAGGAAGTGGACATTGTCGGCGACGAAGTAGTGGACACACCAGCAGGCGATGCTGGGAGGATAGGGAAATTGATTGCTGGTTTCTTGGCCGCAGATTGAACGAACGAGGGTCGGAGATTGGGCGCGCTGAGGCGTAACGGAAGGAGGTGCTTGTGGTTGTGTATTCGTGGAAAATCGGTTTTATCAACCTTCTTCTCCTGGCGAGACCTCGACACTGTAGGGACACGCCTCCGGGTGCGATGGCGTCCGGGCACCCTTGTCCAGGAAGATTCTAGAAACTGGTCTAGATTGTGATCTAATTTTGACTTTGCAATAGAATCGGAATAGCCACCATTCAAATGCGCAGGTGGCGGTGGTAGTGAGGAGAGAGTCGACAAATTCTGTTGAAGAACCTTCGACAGATGTTCCGTGGCGAGCTGCCTTCGCTCTTC